AGCTAAACCCTGAACCGTAAACAAATGCCACCACCGCAATTCAAGCTCAAGGTTCTTCCTTCTAGGGTCTAGGGTGTAGGATTTAGGGTACCCCCAGCCGCTGATCCCTCAAGCCCTTCAACCAGAGCTTAAGGTTTACGGTGCAGCATCTACTTGTAGGGTTTAGGGATGCCCTGAAGCCCCTCTCACCCACACCCCTCGAGAAGAATCAAGACAAGCCTGAAACAACGAAATCAAAAGCCTCAGGGGCAAGTTGAGCTTGTCGATGGGTCTCAACTCCACACCCTAAGCCCTAAGCCCTTAACCCTAAACCATTGATCCCTAAACCCTAAACCCTAAACCCTAAACCCTAAACCCTAAACCTTGATCCCGTAGTTTAGGTTACAGGTACAAGAGTCCCTCGACCCTACCTGCACCCTTACGGGCACCTCTTAAGGGCAGTTTGCCCGGGACCCGGAACCCTAAACCCGGAACCCCAAACCCTGAACCCCTAACCTAAACCCCAAACCCTAAACCCCTAACCCCTAACCCCTAACCCCAAACCCTAAACCCTAAACCCGAACCCTAAACCCGAAACCCCTGACCCTAAACTCTAAAACCCTGAACCCTAAACCCTAAACCCCTGACCCCGAACCCTAAAACCCTGAACCCTAAACCCTAAACCCCTGACCCTGAACCCTCAACCCTGAACCCTAAAACCTCAACCCTGAACCCCAAACCCCTAAACCTAAACCCTAAACCCTGAAGCCTAAACCCTCAAAGCTTAAACACCTGAACCCGAAACCCTAAACCCTAAACCCTGAAATCTAAACCCTATCCCTAACCCCTAACCCCTAACCCCAAAACCCAAAACCCTAAACCCTGAACCCCAAACCCTAAACCCTAAACCCCAAACCCCACCCCACCTCGCCGCATGCTCAGCCAAGGCCTCGCGCTGCTTTCGCTGCAGCTCAGGGTTTCCGGCGGCCTTTGTAGAGGTTTAGGGTTTAGGGTTTAGGGTTTAGGGTTTAGGGTTTAGGGTTTAGGGTTTAGGGTCTAGGGTCTAGGATCTAGGGTGGTTTTCTCACAAGGTAAGAGCTCTTGGGGCTCCGGGTTGGCTGCTTAGGGGTTGGGAGTTTCGGGGTTTGTGGAGTTTGAGGGCTTGTTGCGCCTAAGGGTTCTGCAAGGGCCTGGAGCTTGGGGTATTGCGGTTTCGGGTTTAGGGTTTAGGGTTTTTGAGGGGCTTGAGTTTGTGGCTTTTCTAGAATAAGGTTGACCCTTTGGCTTTGAGGGGATTGATGGCACCCAAGAAATTCGAACCCTCTCAGGGCCGAGGTTGAAGGAGCAAGGTGTGTGGGGTTTAGGGTTTAGGGTTTAGGGTTTAGGGTTTAGGGTTTAGGGTTTAGGGTTTAGGGTTTAGGGTTTAGGGTTTAGGGTTTAGGGTTTAGGGTTTAGGTTGTAGGGTTTAGGGTTTAATGACTAGCAGGGATCCAAGGGCGTAGCTCTAGTTGACATGTCGAAGCTTGCCAAATTTGGGGTTTAGTCTAGGGGCCTTAAGAATTAGATAGAGTGTTGGGGGGTTTTTTTCGTACAGTTACCAAGGGGCCATAAGGGAATACAATTAGCAATTATCCCGACCCCTACATTCGGGTCAAGAGTCTAGGGTCTAAGATGAAACTGTCTCAACGCCAAACTTGGGAAACTCTGCTGGGCGCACTGAACCCGCGGATCACCACACAAAGAAACTCTAAGCAGCAAGCCTGATAAACCCCAAAAGCAAACCAGAACTCAAGCCCAAAAACCCTTTAACCCAAGAACTTCACATGCCTTAGCCAGAAGAACACCACAACCCTCAACAACAAACCTCCTTCGCGGCAACCCTCAAGCCACAACCCTAGACCCTAGACCCTAGACCCTAAACCCTAAACCCTAAACCCTAAACCCTACAAAGCCCGCCTCCACACACTGCTCCTGCAGCTTCCTGAGGTACGCTTGCGTTGCCGACTTGGCCAGAAGCCTCTCTGAGGTGACATACTTGGAGGTCTAGGGTTTAGGGTTTAGGGTTTAGGGTTTAGGGTTTAGGGTTTAGGGTTGAGGGTGACATAGAAACGTCCAACTGGGAAGCTTGGGATATCGGGTTTAGGTACCCGAAAACCCTGAAACCCGAACATCAACCTCCAGACCCTGGAACCCTGAACCGCCCCACCCCCCTTAAAACAAAAATAAAGCCTAAAGCCTGAAGCCTAAACCCTCAACACAAAAAAAAAATATATATATATATATATACATGTATATATATATATACATATACATATACATATATATATATACATATATCTAGCGGCGCCTGGCGGCGGTGGCCTCGAAGGAGGTGTCGACCCCGCTTGGGGCCTGACAAAGTTGAGGGTTAGGAAATTTCAGGGGTCTAAGGGTACAAGGCTTTCTAAGCGTTTATGGGTTTAGGGTTGAGGGTTTAGGATTTTTGTGTTCAGGGTTAGGGGTTAGGGTTTCAGGGTATGAGGCTTTGAGGATATATGGGTTAAGCAGTTCCAGGGTCTATAGGTAGGCAACTAGAGAAATTGGACACCAAGTTGCACCCCAGCTCTGCATCCCTTGAAGGGGTCAGGGAGATCCGAGCTTTGCCCGCTAGCTTCCATGAACATCCCTAAACCCGAAACCGAGCTTAGGGTTTAGAGTTGCAGAGGGCTAACGGTTTAGGGCTTAGGGCCCTAACCCCTAAACCCTAAAACCCTAAACCCTAAACCCTAAACCCTAAACCTTCGCAAGAAGGAGGGAGGACGGGGTTCTCAGGTCTGGGCTCATGGCCCTCCCCAGCCTGGGCCTCTGCTTCCTCCTCTTCGTCCTCCTCGTCGCTGCTTTCCAGCAGAAGGGGCATGATGACCTGGGGTGCGGGTTTAGGGTTTGGGGTTTAGGGTTTAGGGTTTATAGGGTTTTTGGTTTCGGATAGGTGAGAAGTGTTTAGGGTTTGATTTGGACATAGCTTGAGTTCTACGGGCCCTATGAAGCCGCATGTAGTCTGTAATCACCCGCAGCCCTACCTAAACCCTAAACCGACGGTTACACTGGTGGAATAGTGTAGGGCAGAGCCCCAACTCATGCGTGAGGATGGCGTACTTCCCATAAGCCCCGTTACGTCTTGAACTTTTAAACCCAAAGCTCCCAAAACTCCCAAAACTCCCGAAACCCTACACCCTAAACCCTCCCCACCGAAACCCTATACGAATTCTATACAATCATAGTATGTCACTCCAGCCTTGCCACGCGGATTCAAGCTCAGGTACTACCGGCTGAACATTCTCGTTTCAGCTGTCCCAAAAGCCTCGACTTGCAGAACCCTAAACCCTAAACCCTAAATCGCAGAGGTTGTGAAGTACAGGCGTGGTTTGGCTTTCGTGAGAAGGGCGCGTCAAACCTCTGGTAGCTGGAGCCAAACACTGCGGTGGTCGTGAGGTCAAAGGCGGATGGTTGAGGGCTTATGGTTTCCTTACTGGTTCTTCATAGGGAAACTAGGGAAGTAAGTTCCCTCCATCCCGTAAAAAACGGTACCAAGGGGATATAAGGTACCTATGTCCTCAGTTCCCAATCAAGAGCTAGTATCGGGCGGGAGGCTAGTCCTTCAACGTTTAAGCAGCTGCTCCAAGAATCCTGTCAAGCTTTCAGGGAAGTCCGCAAATGCTGCAGACTCTCCTAAACCCTGAAACTCCAAACCCTACTCCCTCCTGCACACATTTGCAAGCTGGTCCGTCGTTTCATTTGTAGGAAGGCAGGGAAGGTGGAGATAGATGCTATTGCCTCGCCCCTTACAGCTGACAGCCCTATCATGAGATAGTGCGGAACTCTGGCAGAATATAAGTTCTCATAAGGAAAATAGGAGATAAGCCTCCACCCAAGTACAGATAGGCTTAAGCATCCATATCCAATCCCGTTGCTTAATTGGATACTCTAACCTGTGCGCAGCATTCGCGTCTCTTGCTCCTCCATTCGAAGGATGGGCGCGCGCCAGCGCACATCGAAAGCCACTGCCATGAACGAGCAACTGCCACACAGAGGCGGCCGGTGCCTTCTCCGGGTATTCCTGTTTGTGGTTTATATAGGGTGTAGGTTCTAATCCTTGGGTTTAGGGTTTAGGGTGTAGGTTCTACCTGTCCACCTGTGCCGTTTCTTATCGGCTCCTCCATCGACTTGTGTTTGGGACGTAGGGTGGAGGGTTTGTACCTGAACCCTAAACCTGAAACAAGAATAGCCCCTAAATGCTAACAGGGCTTGCTAGGGGTTTTGGCTGCCGCACTTGCATGACTCTTCTTGCCCTGCCAGTCTTGTTGTTGTTCTTCTTCTTCCATGAAATTCAGAAACATTGGGGGGAGAGGGGACTAGCAAGGACGGGTTATTATGCCCTGTAACCCCTTAAAAAGGCTCTTTATAGGGTTGATTATGGGGATCATATAGGGGCTAATAGCCCGTCCTGGAGGTACATGGGTACATCTCTTAAGGCCTGAGCCCCAAGCAACATTCATGTCCCAACACCCTCCGAGGGCGGCTGGTCTGGTCAGGGGATCCTGCGAAAACCCTAAACCCTAAACCCTAAACCCTAAACCCATGGGAGCCCGGTCTGACTGCACTGCCGCATCTGAGCAGCTTGGGGCATTTGCGGCTCCTTCGGCCACAAAGCCGCCAGAATGCGGGGGGCGCGAGAAGGGGTGCATGGAATGCAGCCGAAACCCTAAACCCTAAACCCTAAACCCTAAACTCCCCGAAAACCCTAAACCAGCCGCAGGACAATCCTCAATCAGTCTTATAGGCCCATGACTCTGCAAAATCTGGAGCGAGCCTCAGCTGAGACCCGAGCACACACGTACCGTATAACCCATCCAAGTACCCCATGACCCTAAAAGCGTGAAGACCCGAAAACGCTGAATTCACCCTAAATACTAAACCCTAAACCCTAAAGCCTAGACCCTACACCCTAAACTCTCAACCCTGCACCCCCTCCCCTCCGGCGCTCAGTAGCGCCATGCCTTCGTCTTGGCCTGCTTCTGCTTCGCTGCGGCCTGGGTTCTCCAGCGTTCGCGCATAGGGCTTAGGGTTTTGGGTTTAGGGTTTAAACTGGTTTAGGGTGTAGGGTTTAGGGTTGGGGCCACAGGGTTGGGGTTCGGTCGGCTTGTGGGCTTAGGAGGTGGCAAGTGAAGGTTTAGGGCCATTGGGTTGAAGAGGGTTTAGGGGAGTTAAGGGTTTAGGGTTTAGGGTTTCGGGTTTAGGGCTAGGGCGGCCAGCGGCTTGGAGAGGTTTTAGGAGCCTCGGGCTTGTCGGGCTTGGGGCTTAGGACTTCAGGTTTTCGCCTCAATTTTGAAAAGTTGACAGGTGGCACGGACCTTCTGCAAAGTCCTTGGTTGCCCAGTGACCTAAGAACACATGGATTTTCTGTTTGGGGTTTAGGGTGTGGGGTTTAGGGCTTCTAAGGAGGGGTCCAAATTTACAGAAAGCAGTGGTGCAATGATAACACCTGGGCGTGCTAGCTGGCGAAACCCTAAGCCCCCAGCGGTTTCCCCTAAGCCCCTAAACCCACAACCGAAAACCCCGAACCCCTAAACCCTGAAACCTCAACCACAAACCCCCTAAACCCTAAACCCTAAACCCTACACCCTAAACCCTAAACCCTAAACCCTGTAAGAGGCCCGTGCCTTCTCAAGCCACTCGGGCACGTGCTGGCCAGCCTGGGGTGCATCTCCAGGGGCCCGGGCTTAGGGCCTTAAGAGAGTTTAGGGTTTAGGGTTTAGGGTTTAGAGTTTAGGGTTTAGGGTTTAGGGTCTAGGGCTTCCTTCGCACCTTCACAGCATGCAGGCCCTGAAGTCTAAACCCGAGACCCTAAACCTGGCAGAACCCCTTAACACTAATCCTAAAACCTAAGCCCTAAGCCCTGAACCCCAAACCCCCTAAAACCCCTAAACCCTACCTACACCCAAAACCCCAAACCCCCTAAACCCTAAACCCTTATAAACCCTAAACCCTAAACCCTAAATCTCGTGAAAGCGACAGGTGCCCCGCCTCTTTGGCGATCTTGACCAGCGCTGGCGCCTTGGTGACTGAAGGGGAGAGCCTCTTGGGTTTAGGGTTTAGGGTTTAGGGATTTGGGGGGGGGGGGGGGGATGCTTACCAGGAGGGGCGATTAGGCCCGATGATCGCAAAAAGCAACCCTATAAAGGGCGGTTTTTCAGGGTTCTAAGGTGCTTAGGGCTTAGGGCTTAGGGTTTAGGGTTAATTTAGGGTTTAGGGGATTTCCGCGCTGCCCGACTAGATTCAAGGTTACCTACTCCAGCAACCTGTGGTTTGCTGAGCGAGCTCTGGGAATCCGGCACATTCCATGTCGTAGCCCTGCGGCTACGGGCGACGCACGCAAGAGGCCATGGGGAAGGTAAGGGACAAGGATGGGAAAGAGTGAATCTGGTAAGGGGCTTATGGGCCCAAGGTTTCAAAAACCAGAACCCTCAGGCCATCCCATGGTGTCGGATGCTCAGGGTTCGGGAGTATTCCGCAAAATCCCGACAGCCCTGTGCTTGGGAGCACATGGTTGCAGAGGGATGCGCCAATGTTGGCTCTTGGCCCTAGAAGCCCTAGATCCTAAACCCATAAACACATAGACCCTAAATCCGACTGCAAATCCAAGCCCTGAAGTCACACCCCGTAGTAGAGACCTTTGGCGGGCCCCGCCTATAGGCCCGAACGAACCGTAAACCCTAGACCCTAGAACCCAGAACCTTAGACCCTAAACCCTCATCCCTAACCTCGCAACCAGGAAGGGCAGTCAGTCCCACGAGCTCATGGGCCTTGGGCTGCGTGGGCTCAAAGTGTTAATAGGGTCTAGGGGTGTTTAGGGTTTAGGACTTCATTTCTAGACCCACGTGCAAAATGGGAATAAAAAGGGTGCCCGTTTTGGTTTAAAGGGGCTATAAAGGAGCTTAAACCCTCAACAAAGGGAATAGGGGCCTACTCTGGTTCCTAGATTGTGGGGCTTGTAGGATCTAGAAGGTGTACAGGGTCTATGGGCCTTTTGGCAGGGTCCAGTGTGTGGAGTTTAGTGTGGGCCTCATTCCAGAAGGTGATCGACACGCCGCTCTTGCCCGCACGGCCGGTCCGCCCGATACGGTGTACCTCACTCAGGAGTCTAGGTTCCAAGTATGGGCCCTTAATTTGGGTCCGTCTTATCCAGACCAGGCGTTAACAGGGTCTCAAGGTGTGACAGGTTGTGTTCTTCAGTCTAGACCCTGTACAAACAAAAGGAATGAGTCTCAAAGTTGGTACGGAATCTAGACCAAATTGAATGAATCCTAGAACTGGGGTTTTGTGTCCACCAGACCAGATAATAAGTCCATGAGTCTAGAACTGTGGTTTCGGATTTGTCGCGCTTCTTCTTCTTCTTCTTGGTCGCCAGCTCCCGAGAGGAAACGGGAATGGCTTCAGAGCTCGGTGTTTCGAGCGCCTGATAGCTGCGAGAATCTGAGTCAGAATCTGAGCCTTCCGAGGCTAGGGAAGCTCTGAAGGCTTCAAGATCTTGCGCCCTGAGCTCCAACCGCAGCAGGCCTGGATTGTGGGTCGGGGTGGCCACCAGGTCATGGCGTCCCAGCATGACCATGACAGAAAGCTTGACAGATTCTAAGAAACATGGGTCCGAGTCCCATTTCCAGCTGGGCCGCGATTTGCCCCAGCCTGTGATGATGGTGCAGGTTTTGGGCTTCTTGCTGGATAGTTGTGCCGGCAAAGTCTCCAACAGCCAACACTTCACGGCCATTTCAGCGGCGCCACGTGACATCCCATGCACGTCAAGAGAGGTAGGACCCTTTGAGCACAAGTTGCCATATATCCCTTTGTCTCGTGCCTGGCAGTAAACCATGAAGCCATGAGGTCGGCTGTATGTTCCCTTCAATACTTCATTGTAGGTGATGACATTTTCGGCGTATGAGGGGTTCCGTTGGGCTTCAGCTCTACGAGAGGATGACATCAGGGTCCACCTTGGCTTCTGGCATGCCGTCGAACAGATGCAGCGCCAGCTGCCACTGCCAGCCCTTCTGACAAGATCTGATGGCGGCATTGTAGCTGATGACATCAGGGTCCACCTTGGCTTCTGCCATGCCTCCGAACAGACGCAGTGCCAGCTGCCACTGCTCGCGATTCTGACTCTGACAAGAATTGATGGTGGCAGTGTAGCTGATGACATCAGGGTCCACCTTGGCTTCTGCCATGCCTTCGAACAGACGCAGCGCCAGCTGCCACTGCTGGCCCTTCTGACAAGAGCTGATGGCGGCATTGTAGCTGATGACATTCGGGTCCACCTTGGCTTCTGCCATGCCGTCGAACAGACGCAGTGCCAGCTGCCACTGCTCGCCCTTCAGACAAGAGCTGATGGCGGCATTGTAGCTGATGACATCAGGGTCTACCCTGGCTTCTGGCATGCCTTCGAACAGACGCAGTGCCAGCTGCCACTGCTGCCCGCGCCCGCACGACCTGATGGCAGCTCCGTAGCTGCTATCATCCAGCTCTATATCGGCAGCAGAAAAGACGTCGAACAGGAGATGCAACGCCAGCTGCCACTGCCCCCCTTCCTGACACGAGGCGATCGCTTCTTTGAGGTCGGCGATCGGACGATCCATCTGAGCCTCTGTCTGGCACTCCAACCGCGAAGCCTCAGCAGCCGCCAAATCTCGGTTCCAAACCCTAAAGCCCCAAAAGCCTGGCCTTAATCCAACACCCCAAGCCCGGAGATCCACAGTCCGGAATGTTCGCGGGGCGCTGTGGGCTCCTAGCTTAAGGACCAGAGGCCCCCGCTGCAAAATAAGCATGGCCATCCTCCCTTAAACCCTGTAAAGCCTGTAAGGCTCTAAGGACTTTGGTCTCAGGCTGGCTTTTGAATCTTGAGCCCAAAGATCCTTCTACGTTATGGTTCATAAGGCAAAGTGATGCGGAACCTGAACCCTAAACGTTAGACCATGGACCCTGAGCCTAAAACCCTAAACCGCAAAGCTGCCAAGACTTCATGATGGGAGATTCACAGGCGCATGCTCGCAGGATATGCTCCTCACACAGCGGAGGGGCTCAGGGTTTAGGGTTTAGGGTTTGGGGTTTAGGGTCTAGGGCTAAGGAACACTCGAAAGGAGGCTAGCAAAGGGCAATTAAGGCCTTTCCTCTTGGGTCGCCAATACCAGAAAAAGAGGCACCACAAAAGGCCCATAATTCAGAAGTGCGCGCAGTTTTTTTGAGTTAGATCCCTATGACCCCCAACAAGACTGCAAGAACTAGAAAGCCAGAAGCCCACCGAAACCCTAAAGCCCTAAAGCACCAAGCCCGTGCGCAGGGAACAGCTGGAACTCCAGAAAAAGGCGGAACAAAAAAAATGGAAATCCTGTAAGGAAGCAGGATTTATGACTAAATTAGGCAGAACCAGTATTCAAGCGTTGTAAGGTAGCAATCGCATCGTCCCTATCCTCAACAGGAACCTCATATATATATATATATATATATATACATACACCCACCAACATTTAAAAGCAAGAGTGAAGACCTACCTCATGTTCTATAGGCACTTCTCTGCACGATGATTTTTGGGGGTACCGTCAATATATGGATCCGCAATCCACAAAAGTTTAGGGGCCCACCATCTACCACATCGAGATCTATGATTGGGGGTTCTTTTTGGAGATTGTTGAACCGTAGCCCTTCAACCCGATTCACCAAACCAAAAACCCGAATTCCAAAAACCGCAAGACCAAAGCCCGAAAAACTGCGAACCCCAAAACTCCAACATAAACGCGCAAGACCATAAACCGAAGCTGTAACCCCAACCCCAAAACCCTCAACCCCAAACCCTAACCCCCCAAACCCTCAACCTCATACCTTGGGATGTTCCCCCATCCTTGAAAGGGATTGGTACTACAATCCCGATGAAGGACTCTTAGTCTAAGGGGGAACATCCCAACTCATACCCATGAACTAATGGGTCTCCTTCAAGAAGCCTGAATCCTGACCCTGAAGGTTAGGGTTTAGGGTTTAGGGTTTAGGGTTTAGGGTTTAGGGTTTAGGGTTTAGGGCTTAGGGCTTAGGGCTTAGGGCTTAGGGTTTGGGATTTAGGGTTTAGGTGAAGCCTTACAGCTTTTATCACTTTGATCTATAGGGTTTAGGGGGCTAGCCGTTTAGGGTTTGGGGCGTGCGGTTTAGTCCTTTAGGGTTAGGGTTTATAATGTAGGTGGCTGAGAAATGTACTCTGAACACTGTAGCCCAAACCCTTCTCAGCCCTTACCAGGAAAGATCACAGGTTTTGGCCAGTAACACCCTTTGTACTGGTCTATTTAGCACATGTGATATTTCTATAGTTGTGCGCATGGTAAAGTAAACGTAGGTAGCCTACAGCCCCAATCTTTCTCGGCTTCATGCTTTTGGGGCTCAGGGCCTCAGAGGGCTCGGGCTGCTTCGAGAAGGGAACGAACCCAACAAAAGCCTAAGACCCTGAAAGCCCGACATTCTAAAGCCACACATGTCAGACTCACTTGCAGGGGCTTTGTCGGCTGAGGAGTGTGACGCCAGAAAGCCTCCAAAATCCTAAACCCTAAAGTAGGCTCACTCACTAATAATGCAACAAAACCCTAGACAGTGCAAACCAAAAAAAGCTGAGAACACACACATGTACACACACCCAACCAAGAAAACAAGCTTTTGAGCGCAGAGGCGCCAGGTTTGCTTGAGAGGTCGAGGTCTACCTCTGGATGGGGGCAGCGGGGCTGGTCACCCAGCGTCTTTTCAGGCGCTGAACGCGGACAGAGCGATGGGTTCAGGGCTGAGGACAGACTTACCTTTACCCTGAAAGCCATAAGTCAGCTTCAGGCCGTGGAAAGCCCACTAAACCTTGAACCCCAACCCCTACCTAGACCGCTAGTTCTAGCTCCGTTCTTGTGGTCAGTATGACAGAATGAAAAGACCACGTACCCCTACAAAGGATCTTCCATTGCGGGGTCCAGGTACTTCACGGTAGAAGAAGGCAAGAGAAAGTCTTCCACCACGTCCGAGGTCACTGATCCCTAAACCCTAAACCCTCAAACGCCTTAGACTGGCTAAGCCCCAGGTATCCTTTTAAACCCTTGCCCCAAAACCGCAAGCACTCTGTCTCCGAGCCCGGTCTTGTGAAGCTTAGACGCCTTTTTTGGCAAGCTTCTCGTCTTAGAAACCCCCATGGACCCAGTTGCCTTGGTGCCTCGCTACGAGACACCCAGTTCGGGTGCCTGCTTCTGGGGTTCCCAGAATAAGTATTCTAGCAAATGGGGGGGGGGAAGTATCTTACGAGGTGTCCCTATTTGGGACATCCCTAGGCGCTATCGGATAGGGCTATTTGCTTTTCTTAAGGCGTGGGGGTGGGGATGCCAGGACCAGAGTCCATGGGGATTAAGCTCTTCTGGCCCACCCATCCCCAGAGGCTTGAAAATTGCAAAGTAAAAAGTTGTGACCAGGGCCCTTGGCGCAGAAGCTTGAGGATGTGGGGGGGGGGGGGGTTTACATAGGAGGATATAAGGTGCAGTGTAGCCAATTCCCTCATGCCCTGCGAAGAACCAGTACTTGGAGGTTCATGGTACTTAGGAACCCAATGATCTCTGTACTCATAACCCAAGTATAACCCTGTTAGGGTACTTCAGGGGCTCATAAGTGGGTTATAAGTGCTCTTATGGTTGGGATAGGGCAAGCATGGGGCCATGTAGAACCCCAAGCCCGTCCTGGGATCAACTCTAAAGCCTAAACCGCAATAGTTAGGGCAAGCATGGAACCCTAAACCCTAAACCCTAAACCCTAAACCCTAAACCCTAAACCCTAAACCCTAAACCCTAAACCCTAGGGGGCGCCGAAAGGCCGAACTGCCACGAACTCCTGAATTTCTGGAGAGCAGCTGCCGGCCCTGCCTAGCGAAGCTGAGTTGCAAGCCAAGCTTGTTGCGCGGACCTCAATGGCCCTGCTTCTGAAGGTTTGTACTTGTGAGCATGGCTTGGGGTTTAGGGTTTAGGGTTTAGGGTTTAGGGTTTAGGGTTTGGGGTTTGGGGTTTGGGGTTTGGGGTTTGGGGTTTGGGGGTGGGGTTTGGGGTTTGGGGTTTGGGGTTTTGGGGTTTAAGTTTAGGGCTTGGGTTTGGGTTTAGGGCTTACGGTTTGGGGCTGAGGGTTTGGGATGCTTATGTAACGAGGGTCATAAGTAGGGTACAAGTGTGGCTGGAACCTTGTTTGGATACATACCTCTAACTCTGCTTCTTTAGTCCCCTAAATCCTGAAGCCCTAAACCCTAAACCCTGAAACCCTGAACCCTAAACCCACCACTTCTGGATACTTCAGGGTGAACCGACCTTCAGGCCTCTTAGGGTTTAGCATAGAAGGGTATTTGGTTTAGGGTTTAGGGCCTGTAGAGTCCAGGGAGGGTAGGGCTTATAGGGCTTAGGGCTAAGGGCTTAGGGTTTAGGGTTTAGGCTTAAAGGGCTTAAAGCTTGAGGCTTCCGGGGCTCTCAGTGTCTTGCGCATCACAAGAAACACCACCTGCTTGGCTGGCAGCCACGAAGTCGAGACCCTAAACCATACACTTTACATCCCAACCCTAAACCCTAAACCCTAAACTCTAAACCCGAAACCCTAAACCCTGAAGCCGTAGATCCCAAACTGTCCACCATGAAATGAAGAACCCTATGCACACGCGGCTACCCACACACACTTGGGTGGGAGACTGGAAGATGGATCACGATTCAAGACAGACCGCCTCCAAGCCAAGAAAAC